TCGGTACAACGTTGCTGTCATACTTGGAGATCAGCCCTACAATCTGCTATGCCCTGCAGTTCATAAAGGGGAGCTACACGGCAGGATCCACTGACAAAGCTGTTGGGCTGCATTCACAATTCAGCTGCTGATACATGATTCCATAACCCAGTTGCTCTGTTCTGACACTCAGTGAGAGGCTTTCTAAGGATAAATCTGCATAAAATCCAAACCATCACAAATCATCCTGTTTTATTCCCAAGTCCAAACACCACAGACACAAGATGGTGGAACTATGGCACGGCATTTCCTCAAGCTTAGCCGTGTCCTAATCTCACCTGCCTCTGCCACAGCCCAGAGCACCCCATCATAGCCAAGGGACACCCACCGACTCCCCAGGAATCAACATAGCGTTGGTGGGTGAAGAAAAGCACTGCACTTGGATCTCACCGCGGATCCTTTGCCAAGAAAAGGGAAGATGTGACACTGAGGGACGTGGTTGGTGGCATGGTGGGGGTGGGTTGACAGTTGGACACGATTGATTTTAGTGGTCCTCTCCAACCTTAATGGTTCTATGATTCCATCATTTCCTCTTTGTCAACCTCAGCCAGATAGCACCTTGTTTTTACATACCTTAAGACATATAGCACTACTAAAAGAATTAAGATCCTCCCACTAAGCCCAAGATGCACCCAGAAGGGAGTTTCTGACGACACTTAATGCTTAACTGAAAACTGATTGTCTTCACCTGTGCTTCTGGAACAACATCCAGAAATTGTTACCTTAGACCTGGATTTAACACCCAAACACGGATTACACTCATATTTTTGACTGATGAAAAAATATTAATGCAGACCTTGCAGGCCCATCCATCAATGAAGACATACTTGGATTTTGATATCTAAAACTCTCTGTACTCCTGTATTTTGTAATGGAAGTTGTAGGCGTCCTTCATTTTGTTTTTCCTGGGTAGCATTCTCTATCCCCACTGATGTATGTTGGAACCAGAAAACGCAGGGATTTCTAATAAGAGCAGTCTGTCAGGGTCTGCTGTTTTCTTCTGTCCGCAAACAGCTTCAATACAGATCCATCCATCTGGACAGTGTTTCCAAACAAGCCCAGCAATCCCACAGGACATGTGGTGACAGAACCGCACCCAAGGATGCTACAAAGAGTCTTTAGAACTTAGCAAACAGCAAATTCATAGGTTTATGTACAAATGTGATTCCATAGCATCCATGGACTTCGAGAACTACTCTGCTGCTTGAGCACAGTCTTTGGCTAAGAAAAAAAAAAAAGGTAATTACTTACAGTCATTAATGGTCCCACGGGCCATTTTGCAGTCACAGAACTAATTACCCTTTCAGCTGGATAAGGAAAAACGAGCCCAACTTGTGTTATTCCAGCTGTGAACGAGGTGTGTACCATGCAGGAACACAGGGAAGAGGAAGTTCTGCAAAGCACTGAGCTTTGTGCAGAGATTTCCCTGCCTCGCCTTGAGGAAAGGCTTGTTTCCCCATGGCACAGAGTGTGTTCCAACACCTCTCCCCACATCCTGCAAAGTGTCAGACAACTCCATCTACTGCATGACAGATTTTCCCGATACACCTCCAGGAAACAGATCAACTGTTGTTGTTGATGTATGTTCCACAGTTTTCAGTTAGCACATGTGAACAATTAACAATATAAAATGATCAAAGACACGCAACTACAGTGAGACTACTGCAGATCACTTATCCTTTCTTTTAAATCTCCAAATACAATGAGTTGTTTTTCCTGTTTTGGACACTAATATTTCAGGGAGAAAAACTGAGAGCAAGAACAAAACTGTAACACAATAAAATTTTGAGCTGTGGATTAAAAGTCCAGCAGTGCAATAGATTTACCTGATGAGATGCCTGCAACTTTGTGCTCCAGGCTGTAGAAGATTTAGCAGTTTCAGGTAAATTCTCTCCACAAGGCATCCTAGCAGGAGCTGTTTAAGTAGTTCCAAGAAATTTCTCTGGCACTGATAAACTCTACTTTTGGAATCCAGCAACTTTACTGCAATGCTTTCTTTTCTGCTTGTTGATCTTTTTTGTTTATATCTGTTACATAAATTCTCAGTATGACTTTTTAATTTTAGAGGCTTCTGTAGCTTGTATTCTTTTCTATAAACCCAGACAAAAATCTGGATGTTAACAGAGTTCACGATAAATTTTAACTGTTCTGTGCTTTAATAGGGTTGTCTCCATCACATGGAGAAATCAGAAAGAATTAAAAAGCTCTTTTACACGCATTTCCTTCCTATTCCCATCATTGATTACCAAGGAGTCAGCTACTAAATATTTTCTCCACCACATCAGCTCTTTCTACATCAGACAATATTTGTTCTAACTTCTAATAGAAGTAGCAGGCAAAACCACTCATAAAACTGCCTTCCTGCCAATGATATCACAGCCCAACATAACCTGTGCTGGGAAAAGGTGTCCTCTGCCAGCCTAAGTGAAGGACATCTGCAAGAATAAGTCAAGTTGGTCTACTTTACAAGTGAACAGTAACGCACACAAGGATACAAAGAAAATGTTGCAAAGAGATCAGCAGAAACATTTACTGGAAGTTTTACCAACTCCTTCAAGTCGATACCTCCTTTCAACCTCAACCTGAAGGGACAGAGACTTAGTGGACACAGAAAAACCCAATTTTGATGCTAGTAAAAGGAACTGTTCAATTAATACGGTGATGAACCCAATTTTGATGCTAGTAAAAGAAACTATACAATTAATATGGTGATGAAAGCCTGATTTAAGAGTGATAGCTGCTATCTGGCCACCAGAAGGAATTTATATTCTGTTAAGCCATATGTTGAGTAAGAACAAATTTCCACAAGATTAACATTTTTAAATGTGTGTTCAAGCATAAAATAACTTGGATAAAATATTAATCCCATCGCTGAGAACTGCTTACTGAGCTGTTTTCATACGGAATCACCTCCCTGCAGGTTCAAGATGGGCAGCATATGTAAATCTATATAATATTTTCATTATTTTTAGCACAAACATTGCTAAAGCTGACATTTGGAAATTATGCAAAGATCAAAGTGGGGAAGCAAGCAGCTCTCTGGCTGTGCTATCAGCACCTGCTGTTTTCCTCTCTGCTCGACCACAAAGACAGAATACTCCCAAGGCTCTGCACCTAACAGTAGTAGAACTACGGTGCAGAGATACAAAGTGATGTAAGACCTATTTTTATCTGTGGGAAGAAAATAGACAGCCATGAATGCAGACATCATAAGACAGTTGCACAATTATGCTGTGAAGAATGCATTTTTTTTTAAGGAGGCCGTGTCAGTACTCTACACACAACGTTAGCTTGAACATAGAATCACACAACTGTTATGGATGGAAAAGACCTCTAAGATCATCAAACCCAACCCCCTCCAGCCCCACCATGCCCACTGACCACATCCCTCAGTGCCACATCTCCATGTTCTGGAACCTCCAGGGATGGTGACCCTCCTGCCTCCCTGGGCAGCTGTGCCACTGCATTGCCACTCGTACAGAGAAGAAATTGCTCCTAATGTCCAACCTGAGATTCATGTAACAGACTCATCATTCAAGCATAGGTTCATGAATCAATATTGCACTTGAACACCAATCAGAGAGTTAATGGACCACTAGATTCCAAACCTTCACTGTGCTGAAGCTAACACCAAAGGACTGGTCTGCATTCCACAGTGACACGTACCTGCAGTTCACTGGGCAAACAGGAAACCTGTCATGGGCAAATACTTGGAATTAACTGCCATGATACAACATTCTGAGACACAGGATAAGGCACAAATTGCTAACACGAGACTGCAGACCTTCATACAGGTACTTCAAAGAAAGACCAGAGCTGAAGGCTCTGGAGGTGGGACTTTTTGCTTGCAAAGTACCTGCAGAAAGGTCTATGAGGATACATGAGTTAGAAGTAGTATGTCAACAGCCTCAGGATTGCCACACAGAGGTCAAAACCTCCCCGAAAAACTCCTGTGGTGGACAGAACTGGGAAGGACAGACCACACCGAACCAGAAGCCACAAGGCCTTTTCCATATATGATGTCTGGATGGAGAGAGGGAAAGAGATGCACAACCATAGCACCTCTTTACACAGAAGAATTCTACTTGTGTGATGATATGGAGAACATCACTCAAATTCCAGATACCAAGTAACACCCTGCACTTACAGAAAGAAAACTGAAAACCTCTGGGAAAACAAACAACATGCAAGTCAGCAAACACAGAAATATCCCCTTCTGATTAGGCTGAGTAATTGTGAAGTGAGAAAACCTAGGAAAACCAAACTGCCATCATTAGAACTACTCTGAGCAATCATTTATAATCATAGATTTACTTTAAGTATGAAATACCCACCCTGCTACACTAATTCAGCAGTAATGGCATAATTTTTACATGAATAGATCACAAAAAAAAGTAGAATCCAGAAGAAAACCAGACACAGTGTTCTAGATCAGCAATGTTAAGTGCTCTAGAATCAGACCATCGGACAACTGCACCCCGAATCATTAAGCCTTGAGCACCATAAAGGAAGCAACAAAGATTCATCACAGGAAAAGAACTCTCTGAAGTGTTGCATACAAGTGTGCAAGCTCAAATTTGGACCTAGTGTTTGAAAGCCCGCATCGTGGACAGCCAGATGGAGACACCCTACTACAGGAGCTCCCCAGTCCTGCTCGGCAGAATGTCAGGCCTGATGTTGTACCACGTCTGCTCTCCATTTCAGCAAGGTTAAAAGTGCTGACTGCTGGGGTCCTGCAGGTTTTTCCTTACACCCTGACACCCATCTCCCCTCTGCAGAAGCACTCCTCATTGGATACACCAAACCAAAATACTCTCTTCCACAATCACTGGCTTACTTCACCGAAGACATGTATCATTTTCATCATTAGAGCAGGGGCTGCTTCCCACAGCATCACCCGTGCGCTTCAGCGACAGTTTATGTGACCGAACACGGCAGTGGAAGAGCCTGCACACATTTACCTTGATGAGTCATGGTGACGGGCTCCTCGCTGGATATATTGTTGTAGATGACCACGGCGGTGGCATTGTGTGAAGCTGCCCGCAGGATTTTCTCTCGGAAGGTACAGTTCCCTCGCTGCAGCAAAGCGATCCACTGCTTGGTGTTGGGAGGGACTTGGAAACGCGTCCGAGGGTCACAGCCCAGGCGATCTGCAACTGGAGGAGTTGGATGCACATTCAGACAAATGGCAATTTGCTCCAACAGGCAAGAGAGAAGAAAATGACGCTGAATTTATGGTTGTGCACTAGGAAGCTGCTGCCCTCAGGTTAATACAGCCCAATGCTAACTGCATTCCTCAGGTTAAAAAAAAAAGTCTCCTTTATAAAGCTCGATCTTACCACTGAATCTGTAACCATACATCCAAGAATTAGGCTCACCAACAGACACTATTTTTAAGCCCAGTGCTGCGAGAACAATGAATTTCCATTTGAATCAATACCTGCCTGCAGGCTGAGAAACACAGGGACATGGGTCATGTGCTGCAGGCACCTACCAGCAGCAGTTTATCAGTCATTCTGGGCAGCATAACTTTTTTTTTTTCCTTTCTAATGCAATCACAGACATCCCTGCAGTGGGAAGAGTAACTAAACAAGAAGATTTCAGAGCAGTTATCTGCTGTGTGCATGCTGCTGCAAGGATGAGAGCAGCAGCCAATGCCAGCTCTTACACTGCAAGCTTTGCCGGCAAACACAATGTGTTCCTGTTGCTAAATGGGTATGGGTGCTACAAAGGAGAAGTAACAGGGTTGGCAAATGCTGCATCTGAGCCCAACAGCATACAAAGACTTTTTTTTTTGGTCCTTTTTGATGTAATGTATCCTGGAGCAGCCGAAGCCCACACAGATCTATGTACAAAAGGCACAGAGTGCAAGGTGGAGAATGGTTTTCCAGTAAGTCAGAGCCAACAGCAACTTGTAATGCACAAGTATTTACGCTTTCAAATGCCACGAGTAAAAGCACCCTTGGCTACTGAAGATGGATGGGACAAATAGTGAAACCTCAGACATACAATTCATCTGGGTAATAGCTCTGAAAACTGCTACATTTCCCTAGAGCGATACAGAAGAAGCACCCCATACAATTTTCCTTCCTAAGAGGCAAGTTCTTCAGCACCAACTCAGAGTGGATGCTACAGCCAGGAGATCCAGTATGGCAGGATGAAGAGCAGTATGCCTATGGATAGCAAAAGGTTTGCTTCAGTGCAGTTGTGTTCAAGGCACACCAAGTAACCGAGATAGCGGGTTATTCGCTAGAATGGAAGAGCATCTTGAAATGGAGGAAGCTTCTGAAAAAGCTCAGCTCCATAAAGCCCTGCAAAGGCACTATAAACTCCCAAGTTTGAGCTGTACAAATTTAAACACTGACAGAGAATGTGGCATGAGACAGCAAACAGCCTCTGTGGGAAAAGTAGCACAGATTTTCCACTACAGTAGAGATGAAAGCTTCTCGCAGCAGCGGGCAGAGCTACAAAATGCTGTTGGACCAACAGGATTAGGAGCTGAGATGTGCCGATACGTGAGCATCCAGCTGCACAGCAACACGCACACCATTACTTCTGGTGGGGTGATGCAGCGTGTCCCAACACTGCTTTAGCCCTATGTAAGTAACACAAAACCGTGAAGGAAAATCTGGTTGGGATTGATGAGCCTGCAGCTTACTGGAGATTTAATACAGAGACACAACGTGCTTCTCTCCAGGTCAGCATCCTATTTACCCCACACAAACATTAAGCAATCCTTCTGCTTTTAACTAAACAAAACTCAGGAACAACTGCAGATAGCTCTTCCTGCTCTGGCCTGCCAACAGCGCCCAGCCCTGCAGCGCTGCTGGCTGCTACAGCAGCACATCTGCCCCACACCCAGCACTGGCAGCTGGTACAGCAGTACCTCTATCGGCCCCATAAGGGATGGATGAGCAAATGCTGCCATTAAGAGCCACCAGCAATAGCTCCCCACCACTGCACTACCTATACTCCACTGTCCAAGGTTCAATGAGGATGAGACTCAGACTTGCAAATCCTGGATGGTGACTGTGCTGGAATGAAAATAGACCAGATTATATCAGAGCTATTCTAAAAGAACACAAGTGTATATAAAAAGATATGATCAGAAATCACTCAATTTCACAACAGCAGAAAATACAAGTTTACAGAAAACTGCTTCCCTATAGCCATTCTTCTGTCCTACCAACCTGAAATATAAGGGACCGACTCCGTCCTTCTTTTCTTTGTGTCTAAGCATCATGCACACAGTGTCAAAAAACTGACTTTACACTGAAGTGGCAGCCTGCTGGTCAGAGAATCATAGAATGGGTTGAAAAGGACCACAATCATCATCTAGTTTCAACCCCCCTGCTAAGTGCAAAGTCACCAGGCTACCCAGAGCCACATCCAGCCTGGCCTTGAGTGCCTCCAGGGATGGGGCATCCACAACCTCATTGGGGAACCCATTCCAGTGTGTTACCACCCTCTGTGATCCTCCTCATCCCTTCCAATTGCTTACCAGGCCCTTTAGCATTCCCCTATAAGAGACAGAACCATTTTGTGGTGGCAAAAAAATGAAGCGAGCACCTCAGCTCCAGACCAACAAAGGCTCCATATTAGCACTCTGCACGCCCTGGGCTGGCTGCAGGCTGCTCCCTGTGCCCCACACTTACATCACACACCCCCTGATCCAAGCAGGGCACTGAGGCCACAGCACCTCCTGTGAGCAAGGCTTTGCCTCCTTCCCACACAAAAAGAGCAGTGCCAGCATCCCACAGCCCACTAACTGCATTGCGTTACGCTTTTCTCCCCCGCTCCCTTTTTCAGGCCAGATACCCCGATCGATCACCTCTCAGCTAACGCTCCATTCTCTCAGACCAGCAGCAGCCACCAGAGCTGCTCTCAGCTGAGCACTCAGAAATCCTTTCCCTCTCTGACCTTCAGAGCTGCACCACACCCGGCAGAGGCAGCACAAAGGATGGAGCAGCACACAGCCCTGCTCGCATGGCACACCTGAGCACAGCACGCCTCAGAGCGCCACATCCCTCTTTGTGCAGTACAACTGGAGCTCCCAGGAAAGGAATTCAGCTGGGAAACTCAAAGCAGCATAGCAGCACTGATCCATCCCGCTTTCAAGGACGGCTTTCTATCCAATTGTGCACATTAAACAGTATTTTCTTTCAACACATTAGTACTTCTGTTATTACTAATTGGGTCCTCACCCACGCCAGCTGCAATTCCTGCTTTTTCTAAGTTGCACCAATGGGTGACACAGGGCAACACCTCACTGCTGAGAGCCATGCTACCTAATTGCCCTGGCTATACTTGGCTTTAGCACCAGGAGGAACTCTTTGAACCAGGGTAATCTCGTTTCAGCTAAACAAAAGAAAATCAGGGTAGCAGGCAGTGCTGTCATAGTTAAGATTTAATCTTGTTAGCTCTGTAAGTGTACCACAGTTACAGCTATAAACTCAGAAAACCACCAGATTTGTCATCACTCAAGGACTATGAATTAAGCTGGACACTGAGATGAGGGGCAAAGGACGGACACATGGCACAACACTGTCCCTCCACCAACCTGCACTTTTTGATGCATTTGTTTGCTGCATTTTCCTGAAGTTCAGTTTTGGATCCCAGACAGAAACACCACATTGTGCCCAAATATTACCCAAAGTTCTGCAATTGAAACTGCCATTCCAAACCTCCCACAGCTAAACTCTGCTTGGACCACACCCTTACAAAACTCAGTGGCACTGTGCATGAGCTGTACCCCTCATTTGTCACCTCAAGCATCTGTCCCCTACTTCCACCTTTCCCTAAGACAGTTTTCTCCTTTCCATTTTATCTGAGGGTCTATAAAAGGCACAGGGAAAGCTTTGGTATGTGTTTTAGCCTAATCATGGTGAATTCAGTGTAAGAGATCCTGAAAAAGGAACAGGTGACTGAATTTATTGTGTACTGACATTTAAAGGACAGGTAATCAAAGAGAGCAATGACTTCAATAATTAAACATAAAGCAACAGGCATGTTCAAGAACGTGAGCTGACCACCACCACAGAGCACAGCGCTCCACCCCCAGGCCATGCATTACACACACAGCTGCTGACCCCAGCCCTAAGCTGGTAAACTCACGTCTTTGCCTGCAGGTAAAGGATGCAAACACAGCACATGGAATGGGACATTTAAGATGTTTCAATTGTAACAGCTGGGTGCCAACTTGCATGTACAGAAATCCCAAGCAGTGGCCCACGGTGGGTCAGTGCCTGAGACCAACACTAAGTCATGGCATCACCAGGCAGCTGCAGCCACTGGGAGCACTGGGCAGAGCACTACTGCTCCAGCTGCAGAGGCTGCTTGTGTTAAGTGCTATTACAACAAATACATTGCAAACAAGTGCTATACTAGTACAGACTGGCTGATAAAAAGGCATTATAGCAGTCGCAGACAGCAGCACTGCACTGCTATCAGAGCCAAATATAATAAAGCAGAATACAATCACAAGGCTCTCAAGTCTTCAGGAGCATCTTAACTAAAAGCATAACGTACTCCAGCCTCTTTCCTACTAAACACAAGGCTTTTAAACCACGTGAAGCCTCTCAGCAGAATTAAAATAAAATGCCCCCTGTATGGCCATCTGTGCAGAACAATTCAGAACAGCTTTGCAGGAAGACCGCCACTGCAGTGTTTGTTTTAAGTGCCTTCTGTTGACACACGGAAGGAGAACACCTCCCAACAACCCAGGGCAAAGTTTTGACGACTGCAACATGTCGAACCCACAGAATTCAGGTCTGCAGCTCTGTGATCTTTCTGCTGTGCTTTCCCCACTCAAACTGTTCACCACGTTACACTTCAACAGCAAAGTAGGAAATGCTCCTCAAAGTACGCAGAGCATCGTGCTCAGCTCTGCTCTCACTGCTTCTGGTGAGAATGCTGTCCACCACCCTCAATGCTTGAATCACACTTAAGTGAAGACCGTGCTGGAAGAGACCAGAAAAAGCTATAGGGAAAACTAAACAGTAATTAATGCCAGAAGTTCGTTTTTTGACCAATAAAGCAGCTGCTAAAGAAATCAAGTGGTTCGACACCCTGCACAAGAAAAGGCAGCAGAGCTGACCCTGCTCCCAAACACCCCTTGGGATAACTGTGACGTGCCCAGAGCTTCCAGGACAGCCTGCTGACCTCACACAGCAGTGTGTGTTTAAGTGAGGAACATCAGGGAGCAGAGAAAATGAAAGGTTGAGCGCATCTGGGGACAGACGGCCAAAACGACTGCAAAGGGCAGGATTTAAGATACAGAAGAAAATCCTTCGGCAGCCAGCTTGCACCGAGATTTGTTTCTCCAGCCTTCCCCACAAGCATGCTATTAAAATAAGTTCTAATTAACACTTTGTAAAGCAAACGAAACAGAGCTTCAATGAAACCAGCAAGTGTGTGCGCTGCATAGCTGCCTCGTGCGCAGCAGGAGCAGACAGGAGGCTGCTAGATGCTGAAAGAGCATCAACATATTGTCCTGACCTTGATTTGTTAAATCCTCAAGGGGCTTTAATAATACAGCAGAGCTCTTCAGGAAAACACAGCAAAACAAAACCAAGCAAAAACGCTCTTAATATTCACCGCTCGCAGACTGGTTTTAATTGATTACATTGCCTCACGGAATGCATTATTCAGAGGCTGCTGCCCAGAGAGAGGCTGAGAGCACTGAGATCCATCCGGGGCCATTTCTGGAGGACAGCAGTTTGGGCACAGCATCACGGATGGTTCTCAAAAATAAGATGCGATTAAACCGCACCGCTGTGACCGAGTGCCCGCTCTCATTTCAGACCAAAATCAAGACGCTCAATGATCAAAACCACTCTTGTTTAAGTTCACGCATCATAAAGGCCGATATTTATCGGAAAGCAACCAACGGGCATCGGCCGCACTCCGCAGCAACAGAACTCGTGTGGAAGCGCTGCCCAGCGCTCAGCGCCACGGACCGGGCCGCGGTCATAGGCGGACATCCAACAGCTCAACCAACAGCTCGGCAGGCATCCCTGACCCACGCACGCACCGCACGCAGCCGCAGCACGCGGCTTTCCGGCCGCAGCCCCGTCCCGGAGCGCGGTTTTGCCGCTCCCCCTCGGCCGCGTTCCACCTCCTCCGCTCCCGGCTCCCCCGGCCACCCGCGCGGCGCGGGGCCGTTACCTCCGTTGATGGGCACCGGGGTCACCAGCAGGCCCTTCACCTCCACCTTGGGCGAATCCTGCCCGTAGCGGCCGCGGTCGATCCGGAGCAGCGTGGGGCCGCCCCGCTCGGGGCTCAGCACCGTCACGTTGATGAGGGCCGTGTAATACGACAGCTGGCTGCCGTTGTCGTCGGCGCCGGCCGCCCACAGCCAGCAGTGCCCTAGCAGCAGCAGCAGCGCGGAGCCGCCGCCGCTCCGCCGCCGCCGAGCCCAGCGCGGGCCCATCTTCGCCTCCCGGCGGGAGCGCGTTATCCCATCTGACAGCCCAGGAAAGGAGAGAGACCGCGAGCGGGCGGCGAGGGGAGGAGAGCCCGGGCTCATGCCATGGGAGGAGCCAGGGAAGCGGCGGCACGTCCCGGCAGAGCGCGGTCCGCCGGCCCGGGGAGGCTGCGGGAGCTCGGGGCGCTCCGGCGGCCGCTCAGGGCCCCGCGCTCATCCCGCTCGCAGCCCGCGCCGGCCAGAGGGAGGAGGAGGAGGCAGCGGCTCCTTCGCCGCGCACGACTCCGAGGAGGCGCCGCCGCCCCTCAGCACTCGGGCTCGGCCACGCCGCACGCCCCGCTGCCCGCCCCGGCCGAGGGCCGCCTCTCCATGCCCGGCTTGGTTCCGAAGCGGCCGCACCGCGTTCCGCTCCCGGCGCCTCGACTGCAGCCCGGCGCGGCCCGCACTGCGCAGGCGCACTACGCCCCACCCGGCGCCACGAGGGCGAGAGGCGGGACTGAGGGAAGCCACGCCCCCGCAACATGGGATCGACTGTAGGGGCGTGGCCTGAGCGGGTGACGTCACTCCGGGCGCGGCAGGGCGCGGGAGGGTGACCGTGGCGTGGAGGTGTGGGGTCCGGCCCTGGTTCGGGGCTGCCCCAAAGAACCTCCGGAGCGGTGTTGATCTGCTCGATGGTGCCGCAGGGAGTGCTTACAGTGTTGGAGCCAGCATTAGGGACAGACATTGCATCTCATGGCTCCTCAGTGCAGATATCAGGTCAACGGCGTTGGCCATCGGAAACGCGCAAGGTGGTTTAAAAGCACGTGTGAATGGTGCAGTGTTTGGGGCTGGGTTTAGGCAGCACGTCTGGTGCTAAAAGGCCGGCCCAGCAGCAGCAGCACGGCTCCTGTGTCAGGATGTGCCCGCCGCTGCCTCATTTAGAGTTACTTATTTTCAGCGTGCTAAAATGGGAAATGTTACTAACACTGAGATGTTAATGAATACAAATCCTTTGAGATGCTGCGTAGCAGGATGCGATGCGTGACACTTCACCATCATTCTTACAAAGGGTTTGAGCTTCTCTGTGACCAGGAAAGGAACAAAAGAACACAACAGCCTTTTCAGGTTTTGAAAGACAAATTATCTGAAAATTATTTATGGCTAAGAAGACACAGGCTGCAGGGTTTTGGGTTAAGATATGTTCTAAATTTCTGAACAAATAACCGTGCTGCTGTTCTTCTGAGATACAGTCTCCCTGGTGACTTCCCAGCTGCTCCGATAAGAGCTGTGCTTCCCTTCAGCATCTCACTGTGCTGTTCCCTTTGGAGGTGTTGTGGCACATCCCTTTGGGATGCACGTAGCCACACATGCATGTAAGATAACACCCTGAAAGCTCATTCTGTTTACCTCATTTAGCTGCGAGCAGCAGGGCTGAGCCTGCCCTCGGGGAGCCCCATGTCGGTGCTGAGGAAGGCAGGACTGCCCGCCAGGCTGCGGCTGAGCTGCGGGATGTGCTACAGGCCTGTGGTGCTGCAAAATCCTCCGAGATCTGCTTATGAAAAGCTCTGTAGAGTTGTGTAGAAAATGTCAGTGCAATCCAGGAAGTGTTTATGAAGCAGCAGCTGAATGTTCCAATGTTCTGTTTCCCCTTTGTTTTGTTTTTTTTTTTTTGCTGTTGTTGGTAAATGTTGGGCAAGGAGCCACACGTCACAACAGCCGTGCAACATTGCAGCAAACCTTTCCCCCCAGCTAGAGGAGCAACCAGAGGACTGCTGGCACAGGGGGCAGCAACCTGGCATCGGGACACCTTCTAGAGCCACCTCCCTTTCCCTATAGCATCCCTGTGCCAGCCCATAAATACTGGCATACAATGCTTGAGCGCAGTTCTTACTGACTATCGGTTCCCTTCTTCCTGTGATTACTGCCTAATAGGGGCCTATGAGAAAGCTGGGGAGGACACCATTAGGGAGTGTAGTGACAGGGCCAGGGATGATGGCTTTAAACTCAAGGAGGAAACACAGTGAGGGCAGTGAGGCCCTGGCACAGGCTGCCCAGAGGAGCTGTGCAGGGATCCAACGGCTAAAGGGATCCGAAGCCGGGTTTAGCACAAAGTTTAGAGCAACCTGGTCTGGTGTTCTGTGTTTCCATGATCCTTGTCCCCTGCACAAAGGTAACAAGAGCACTAGGAGTCTCAGATTCTTTGCTTTTACTGCATCAGTATCCTCAGAAGGACCTCCAAGCACTGAGGAACAAGGCTTTTGCTGGCCAGGCTCCCAGCACATTACCTAACTACATGTGTGATGATAGACTCAAACAGCAAAGTGGACTGAGGGGCCATGCAGCCCCAGCCTCCTCAGTTCCCTTGTCCAACCACACTCCATCCTGGTGCCTGGTGATGGCTGCTACAGGGACACAACGTCCCCGTTCTTGTGCTGAGGTGCAGCATGCAGCAGCCACACAGCCATCTGCATGGCATCCAGTGCTCCCTTGGGACTGGGTGCAGAGCACTTCCCTCAGACCCAGTCCCCACGTGCCCCATAGCTTTGCTCCCATGGCTGTTCCAGGAGACTTTGGCCACGCCATGATTTTCCTGCCCCACAAGAGGGCCCACAGGGCGAGGTGCAGTGCCCTGGGGAGCTCAGCAGGGCTGGGAGAAATGGCAGCAGGGCCAAGGGTCTGGTCCTTTCAGCAGCTTACCCAACGTGTGTCCGGTGTCGTCATGAGGAAAGCTTCATCCTGGATGGAAATGCCACAAAGCCCAGCTGTTTCCTCAAGGATGTGGCGCATGCAAAGCGATGCAAAAATAAAAATAATAATGCCAGAATGAAGTTAATTGTATGGGGCTGGCTGGCTGCAGCCGGGCCCAGCAGCACCCGTGGGCAGCGGCCTCCACAAAGCAGAGCGCGGTGCCAGTTATGACTTTATTCATGTTCACATTTAGATATTACAACAAAACTCTTAATGACAAAGGATAACGAGTACGATAGGAGGAGAGGAAAGAAAGCAGTGTTCTAACTGGTTTGATATATAACAGTCAGCTTCCAGACACAGGACTCAACAGGAGCTATGAGAACTCACATACACTCACCAGTAGTTAAGACTCGCACATGCAACACCCAAGCACTCACCCACAACACACACAAACCACATTGCTGTACTCACACACAACCCATGCTGTAAGCTACTTGCTCGGAGGGCAGCCCATGGAAACATCCAATGCTGCTGCAGCAACAACAGGTACCAGGCTAAAATACTGTGATATAAATGAAGTGGTACTTGATACACAGGTTTTTCTCCAGAGACGCATGTGCGTTCCTAAGTAGGGAATTAGATGCTTTGTTTCCATGAAGGAATGTTCTCTCAATACCAATACCTTTGTAGTGTGGACCCAGAATGGTCATTTTGAAAGAACAGACGATAAATAGCTTCAGCTGTGAATTCCAGTAAAAGGCCCAAACAAAACCAAACCGTGCACTGTGCACCATGCAGGCACAAACACCAAACCTGGCTTTTAGAAAGTGAAATATTTTCTTGTTGTTTGTCCTTCCACAGCACCACTGCCTCATCTCAAACCAGAACAAATCCGCTTCTTTTTGTGCTCTTATCTGAAGACTGTAAAAAAATGCCAAAAATAATGCAAGAGTGTGGGGAAGAGTGTCAGGTTTGTACGTTCCCATTTCAGTATTGTTTTAAGAGACCAAAAGTACAAATGTTCAACAGCTCTTCAGTATCTGACACTACTGTTGTTATTCACCACTGGAGCGTCTAAAGAGCAGCACATGGTTGTGTTAAGCTGTGTCGTTCATGCAAGGCTGTTGGCACTGATACAATAGGATCTGATTCTTCCCCCCACACACCTCAAGAAGGTGTAAAATAGATAATAAACTCCTATGGGGCTGAATCATTTGAACGTTTAGAATCAGATGTCACTTCAGCACTTTCCCTGGCATGAAGCAGGGGATCTTTAACAATGGCTCTAATGAAGTAACACGTCTCTACAGTGATGCTCGTGAGCAATTTCCATGGAACCTAAAGCCCCAGTGCAGCTGTCCCAGCAGGCTGGGAGCGCTGACAGATCAGGAGTGCTGAGTGCCAGCATGCGTGGATGCCTCCATCTCATCTGTGCTGCAGAACTCTGCCAGTGCCCTGCAAGTGCCCGGCTTTGCTAGTATGTTTTTAACCCTCGTTTGCAGCTACTTTGGAATTCTGCTTTCCAGTTGTTAATTCACAGACATTTATTGAGCCTCCTGTCAGCTGGGGCATTGTTTCCAAGCAGAGAATTGTTTATGAAGAGTAGTTTTGTGGCTGCACATCACCAAGAGAGCAGCCTGAATTTAGCTCTGCAGTATGTCACCTTCCACCTGCATGAACCCTCAGCACAGGGCACAGCTTTTCTTCTGCCAAGGGAACCACCGATAAAAAAAAACAGGGCAAGATGAGGGCAGGAGAATTTGGCCTGGCCCGCACCCTGCTGGCTGTCCTGCTTCCCTGGCCTGACTCCTGCATCTCCTGCCAGAAGCATTCTTACTGAGTCATAACAATTACTTAAATATGCTTAAATTCCTGGCAACTTTGGGGGACATCAGTAGAAGTTGGGGAATCAATTGTCACACACAGTTTCAAATTTTATGTCCTGAGCCAGCTTGGCTCCAGTTGGTTTAGTTCTGTGCCTCTAATTGCCATGGAAATCACAGCCATGCCCTCCTGCTGACATGGGATGGGAGGGGAACATTGGGCGCTCTGCAGACTGAGGGAATCTGAATGAGAGCCATGCTTTTCCCATGAGCTAAATAAATCTCCCCTATTACACTTTGCAGATAACTATAATTAAGATTTGGGACAGTCACCAATAACGACTCACATCAGGAAACACATAATACCTTCTGTAAGTGAAATACAGTTTTGGAAAATGGTACATGTGATAGAATCTGACATCTTGTGAAGACACAATTTTCAAAGTCCAAACTCTTGCCTCTATGCAGAGGTGTGGCCTGCATGCAGAAACTCCCCAGTGCTGAGATACCCCTGTGCAAGGAGCTCTGTCAGCCACCAGCATGTGGGAGAAGAGAAAACGACAAGCTGTTCAGACAGCTTCTGCACCCAGACTCCTCTGGTGATGATGTAACGGCTCTGTGGCTGAGCTCTTGGATTATGAACAGGATGGAAAGAAGTATGTGGAAAGCAGCGAG